CTAGAAAGGATTGTTTTATCTGTTTGTAACTTTGTATGTTCGAATGTCATTACATCCTTGCATTCTTCACGTGGAACAGACTTGTTTTCTCAAAAAACTTTTTGCTTATGTTTTCATCCACGTAAACAAGCATTTGTTAGGATGTTACCCACATGAAGTACATCCTTCCCCCCTCCTTCAGAATGAGAAAGCTAAGTACTTCAACCAATTTGTTGCCAACTTGGGAGTTTCTATTGCAGAAAAGTTTACTTCCTATCTGACTGTCATCACTTCAATTTACAGTAATATAAAATCATGTCTTAGGAAATCCTCTTTTCTTAGGATTTAGGAGATCAGTATTCAAATCCTCACTCAACCATCAAGTTAGGTGACTTTGACCAGTCTTATCTTCTCAACCTGAACTAACTCATAGGAATAAAGTGGAGAAGAGGAGACTCATGACTGTTGAGTTCAGTGGAGTAACAGTGTGGTGGAAAGACAGTAAATAAATGATGTGCAGTATGTAGACTCTTCCTCGTTTAAGGTGAGCACAAATAAGTATAGGTCCTGAAACAAACATAATTAAGTCATTCTGGTGCTGCCACAGCAAAATTTTTAATACAGTATTATGGTGTATGTTCTGGAGCCTAAGGAAGATATCAGGGCTTGGATTCCTGCACTGAGCAGAGAATTGGATTCAATAGCCTTACCAACATTTAGTTTTGTTAATAGTACTGGGATGACATATTCAATAGATTCAAAAAACTTCATATCTGCCAGGTATCGGGCAAATATGTCTGGCATATAGCTTGGAATTTGCCATCTTAGTCCAAGGAACCAACAAAAGTCCAGTCTGTGGACTGAGTCCTTGTAAGAGGAACATGCCATGCCACCAGCTTTGTTAAATAATTACAACAGGGTGTTAAATGTCAAAAAAAGGATTTTAAAATAGGTCATTGCCCCCTTGCCCTGATAGGCAGCCAATGTCGTGTTCTACAATGATGGGAAATATGGGAATAAGAGGGTAAATTTAAAACCACTCATCCCGCATTATTCTATACAAGAGCAAGAGGACTGAGAGTAGAAGAAGAAAGACAGAGAGTAGAATGAAAAGTCTATTACTGTAACCTAGGGGTTACTGTAGCCACCACTGGGTTACTGTACTGGATTACTGTAACCACCAGGACATGAACAGAGGAGCTGTGTAGTCTCAGGAACCAGGAAGTGACAGATCCAGTGAATATTAGCAAGATAGAAAAATATTTGACTGATCATTTGAAATCACTATGTGATTCCATTTGTAGCTACTGCCCAAGGCTGCTCTTTTGTCTGTCCGTTCTTTTTCTAGCTTTCTTCCCCACCCTGAAAGAACCCCAGTTGTAGTTTTCTTCTCTGTTACTCCTCCTGCCTGTTTCCTTTTCCCAAATTTGAAGGGGGCCTTTCTAGTCACTTTTCGGTTTGAGAAGAGACCCATCCTGGATCTACCACAGCTTGAGGGGACGTACAGTCACTCTAATGTATATACTGTATTCAGTATTTTCTTTTTAAAGAAAAAACCAAGGGAGGGTGCTTTGTTGCCTGTTTTCAAGGCAAAAATGCATCAGGGAATCTGCAGATATAGCTATGTCATCTGTCATCTAAAAATACATTGGTCTAAATTGAGTATGTCAACAGAGTGAAAATCCCAGTTAGTTTAATTTGTGCAGTAATATACGAGGGTATAAGCAATAGTGCAAGAGACTGCACAACTGGTCTTATATGTGGTTGCGCATCGACTTACACACCTGTGTTGGATTCCATCCTTGCACTAAATCTGAAAATGCACAATGGCTAGCACATGGGTCCTCACCAGAACAATAATGCAAAAGATACGTCTTTTTACTTATATTTAGAATCCATTCTGCTCACAGTCCTCTGTATACATCTTCAAAGAGGTGTCTATCTTCTATGCTTAGCAATGGATACAACAATGTAGGTTGTTCACGTTAGCAAAGCAGCTAATTCTCTTAGTTGATGGAAGACAAAATTATCGTAGAACACTGGCTGATCGCTGCTGTTCCACAGAAGCACTTTCTGAAGGGAGTCACAGAACAGATAGTACTGAACATTTCATTTATATGTATGTCAAATCTCTTCTCTTTCAGAATTCAGATCCTTCTAGCTCTTTAAAAGATTTCTGAAGAGCAGCTTTTCATTTATTGCTAAATATATTTGGGAGCTTTTATTATATATGTCAATCTTTGCTCTTTTGAAATATTAAGGGAATAAAGTGGTGCCCTGCATAGCGACTATAATCCATTCTGAAAAAATTGTCGCTATCTGGATTCGTCGCTATGCGGGACTAAAAAGCCCGTAGGAACACATTAAAACATGTTTAATGCTTTCCTATGGGGGGAAAACTCACCGCTATGCGGAAATCCTCCACACGGCCGGCATTTTCATCACCCAGTATGCAAGGAAACCGCGTGAAAACGCTGCAGGCTGCCATTTTTTCCCCGGCTCGCCGATCAGCTGTTTTTAAAACACCGTAATGCGAAGATCAGTAAGCGAAACGCTTACTGATCATTGCAGTGCGATTTTTGGCCATTTAAAACGTCACAATGCAATCGCTTTTGCGATCAGAAAATCCACATTGCTGTTAAATGCCTTAAAATGATTTGTGTGCAATATTATCTGTGGTGTGAGGAATAAGTAAAACTTTTATTGTGTACAATCCACAAAAGATAATTTAATTCAGTGACATTCTGAGTATTTAAGGATATAGTACAGTATGAATACATTTCTTGATATGAAGAAATGTATCTTTAAATATTCTATCTTTAATTAATGTTTAGGTGGCAAAGCTTTTTTTTAAAAATCATTGAAATGTCTATACCATCTCATGGCTGTCAGTAAAAGGCTAGTTTAAGGATTAGGGTAGAGCTTTTATCAGTTGTTCTCTTCAGTATATACCCGCTGATGATTTTAATCTGAAAACATGTGAGTAGAATCAAACCACTGCTTTGTTCAGTGCTCCTCTGACAGTCATTCCTGAAGGCAAAGGAACTCTGCAAAGGGCATTGGAGTGGAAGTTGGGGCAAAAACTGAAGAGAAAGCTCACACCAAAAGTACAAGTACCCACTTAAAACTACTTGGAACCAGATTAGTATATAAACTTTTGATTATAAAAGTCATTTGCTGATTTCAAAAATGCAGGTGCCTCTTAACAAAGTGCCACAAGTATTGTTCTTAATATGATAAACCCTTACAAGAATCATTTTCAGAATTATTAAACAGTCATTTTTTCACTCTGGCATTGCATTGTCGAAAGTACAGTATAAGGTTTTAGGCTTTAGCTCTATGTAATAATCATCATTAGGTGCTTCCAGATCAATATGTTTAGGAGTACGCTCATCAAAGCAAGAAAAACCCAAGAAGGGTTCCCAAGAGATAGTTGCTAGTCATTTCCGATGTAGGGCCAAAGACTATAATGGGACTACCCTCTAGTAAGGGATAGCAGACTGGCCAGTTCAGTTGTTTGCATGCATCATGGCTTAATTCTAAGCATGTTCTACATAAATTAGTTTTGATTTCAGGGAGACCTGACTCCTTGTAAGTTTGCAGCCTAGGGCTATGAAAGCAGCTATTGCTTCCCGGCCACTTGTATTAAGCTTCTTCCCTTTTAAGAACAGCTGGGTGTATTAAGAACCATTTCCTAGTTCTAGATAAGGTAGATCAGATAACTCTCACTTTATCACCCTTGAAGGCCATCTGAAGGACAGAGATACACATAAAACTAATGTTTTTCTATGCTGGGGAGCACTTGCTGTGGTCTTCTGATTACTACAAGGAGGAAAAGGCTACTGAAATGTGAGACCACTGCTCAGTCAGCAACAGTGATTGTTTCCCACTATCTTGCCTTCCCTGAAGCATTCTGGCAGTGCCTTAGCTTAGCATAAGAAAGTGGTTGCACATGGGGCTAGAGACCCAAATTATATACTACTTCCCATTTGTGGTTATAGTCCTTATTGTCATTTGTTTATGGAGAGCAACATTAAGCCTCCTACTATTTAATGTGGCAAATATGGGATTGCAGCAGGTGACTTTCATCCAGTAAAACACACTGTGTAGGAACCAGAGAGCCACTTTCCAAATGAGGATTCCTGGCTCTTCTGTGCTGCAGCATCCACTGCATCCTGCCCCATTGTCCACACAAGCCAGTCCTGAGGATCAGGGGATTCTTCAAATGGTATGACAAATATTAATAGTGTACTGAAAATACTGAAGTACTTATGAACAGGATGGAGATGTGACTCTTTACTTATATTTGAAATGAATTTGTTACCTTTATATACGTACTTATGAACAGGATGGAGATGTGACTCATATTTGAAATGAATTTGTTAACTGTATATAGAAATATTGTTCAATACATAAAAATAAGGTGGAAGTGCTTTTGCAATCACACAAGTCACCTCTAAACCATGGCTTAGGAGAAAATTCTCCTCGTTCTGTTTTACAAAACATATTCGACATGTACTGTTCTATCCAATAAAATAGAAATCCTGAATCTGTAGGAACTCTAGGTCTCCAATCCAGAGGCAACTGCATAGACAAATTGTTGTGCCACTTCTCCAGATGCGCTTTTAAAATTAGGCTTTATTGTGAGACTATACATATACTATTCAAAATGGCAGAAAATTATAAATCTGTATCGAGGTTTCCCAAAGTGGAAAGCACACACTGAGCGAGGTGTTAACGCTTAATATAGTCCTGTGTTGTGGCAACAAATTGGTCCCAAATCCTGAAAGCTTGTTGAATATTAGAATAACTAAATAAGGAAAGGTAAGATAGACTGAACATGGATCCTGGGCCAGAAACAATTACCTGTTCAAACTACTGCTGAGGAAATTGTTTTGACTCATGCAGATCGTTGCTGCCAAGATTCAGTAGAATTTTTTTGTATACCATGTAAACCTTTTTTAGTGGAACCCCAAGGCATTGATACGGAACAATATGTAAAAATGCTAAAGAACGACAAATGGATAGCCATGTAATTTATTTTGTAACCATTTCATTAAAAACAACCTCTGAATTGAAATTTCAAAATTACTAGAAGAACATTACAAAAACTGACTGCACAATAGGATTTAAGTTCTTCTGGATGATATGCTCTGCCACATCTATTCCTGTTGAAGTGCTGAATTAGAATAAATATATATATAAAGGCTGATGATGTTTTGACTATAAAATCTGCTTCAGTGTGATGCTCACATATGGATATGTATGAAAAATGTTAGTCACTACGGTACCTTGGAACTCGTTATGGACTTCAGCTCGTATAGAGGTTAATGCCAAAATAAGACTGTCATGTAAGCATGAGCCATGACACTGAATCATGAATATAAGTGTAGTGACCTTGATGATTTTAAGCATATGTTATGGAGCACGGTGAAATATTGTACAAGGCAGTTTAATGTATGTAATCAGATAGGCTGTAAGAGATAGCATTTAGTAGTCTCAGACATGAGTGACTGATGTAACATATACCTCTGTATCACTAACACATTCATTTTTGGAACTGCATCAATCTGATACACTCATACTATTAAATTAATCCAGCGGTTTTATTTATTTAAATTAAACTGGCACCGTTTGCCAAGTTGTTCCTGAATTATTTTCAGTTGAAAGACACATCAGCCTTTTCATTTTGAACACATCATCAAGTATTACAATTCATTTTTACTGCTTACAAAATATGAAGTTCACTTCTAACTCCTTTTGTTTGGGACAATTGCTTTCCTCAAACATTACAAATTGAAATGTAAACATTTTTCTGTGCATTTCCCCAAAAAATACATGAAATAGTGAAGTGATTTAACACTTCCAATTCTAGGTCCGATTAACTTGTCATTAGTTTTGCATGTTGGCACTTTGAACTAATTGGTTTTTTTCTGATTTCTGCTTTCTCTTGATTCCCATATTACAATCACATTAAAATATAGCAAGAAGAATAGAAAGTGCAAGCAGGATACAGCAGAGACAGCTAGAGGAAATAAATCTGGTAGCCTCTGTGGAGGATCCAACGTAGCACTCATTAAAGTCAGGATGCCCATCAGAGTTATTGAGACAAGGAACTGAAAGGAAAGGTACACTGGTTACCACTGATTTACAGTGTCCACTGAATAGTTTCATTGCTCACGTGCTCTGTTTTCAGTAAATATAGTGTGTCTCTAAAGATGACATCTTATGCACTACTTGCCAAGGTTGAAGCAAACATGGTCATGTTAAACAACTGAAGAATTTCCAAGGGGAAAAGAATTTCTAATATTGGCAATGTGTATAATGTGCATTGTGAGAGATACCGTACTGAAGCATGATGATAGTGAACTCAACTTATCATTCATCTTGAATGATTATAATTCTAAAGCATCAAGATACTGCCCAGAAGCACTGCTTTCATTGTTTCTAAGAGAACATCTGGTCATCAATCACACCAAAACCAAATTAGTAGTCTTCAGAAATAAGACAAAAAAACCCACACAGAAGCTTGATGACAAATCTATTGAGCAGTTACATAACTTTAGTCTTTGCGTTAATGCCCAACTTTCCTAGAAACATCATCTGAAAGCAATCCATATGAAAGCATCCCATTCCACTCAGTCTTTTTTGTGGTTTACCATACTCTGTGGGGGAATTTAGCTGAGTTTGCTGCTCAAGTGCTAAGAAAATATAATCCTAAATAATATATGGGGTAGAGACAAAGACCCTCGCTCAAGAAGTGGTTCAAAAATCTTTCATTTTACCTCCTAACAGTTCCCTGTGGCACAACTGCTGCATACTTATAGGATGAAGTAGAATTAATCCTAAATGAAACACAGTCCCACATTGCACTGGTCATGTATTGGCTGAAACTGGCCTGCACGAGTGACTCACATCCCAAAGAAGTGATACAAAGAACAACTCCATAGTCCTCCTCAAAAGTTCTGGGTAAATTCAATTAGACCCTGTGACAAACCCAGACCTACTGGGATATGTCACACAGTTACACTAAGCTGCCACCAACCATTCCCTGTAAGAAGTCACACAGACCAGGGATGGATTTTTAAACAATAAAAAGAATAAGGTTTATTTTAAATACACACAGGAAAATAAAACAATCAGGTGAATAAAATAAAGTACCGTGGCTTATTCTCACACACACAAGCATACAGTTTGGTTCACCTAGAACCTTTAACTTAAAGCACAGACCCTGAACCCATCAGTTCTGGCTAACCAACAGACCCCTGAACCTTTCAGGCTGGTACTCTGACACACAGTAGTACCCTGTCAGACACCCAGACTCCCACAACAGCTTCTTCTCCCCAGCTGCTGCTTCGTCCCAACCCAGTGTCTCACAGTCTGTCTCAGCATCTCCCAGGCATCACATATTTATACAGTACAGCCCCTCCTCCTGATGTCCCGCCTTCCACTCCCCATAGGATGGAACTTTCCCTCCAAACCCATGACAGACAGGTAACATCAGTGCTGTTAGGTAACAGACCCATTTTACAGAACTATGGGATTGACACAGAGTCCTTACCCATTTTTGTCTCTAATAGGGTCAAGCATCTGGTTAAAGAAAAAAATCTGTCTTCACTCATAAGTGGCTGCATTTGTGTGCCCTCTCACAAATATCCTATTCTTGTTGGGTTCCCCCCTGTACAAAACATCATTTGGTTGGGAGAATTATTTGGTTAATGTAACCTTAGCCCCTTTAAGAAAAGCATTCACAACTTTGCATTTTCAGTGTATGCCATCAGCCATGTTGGAGGGGGGAATATGCTAATGTCCCATTTCATCAAAAACTGTATCTGTGGTTCAGGAGAGGTTCAAGGTGCTTTCCATTATTCATTAAGTTGCCCTTTATATGAGCACACCAGAAGTCAACCTCTTGTGGGCATTCTCAGACTCTTGGCTCAACATTTTACACTGCTTGTGGTTGGGGATGTTACTACTACCTAGCAAGTAGCAAAATTTGCTTTGGCAGCAAAGAAAATACATGCCAAGCATCAAAAAACTTAAGAAGGGAAGCTATGTCATCTTGTATTTATATAAAGATATATTGTGTCAGTGCAGTTTTGGGTTGCTGTTGATATTGCAGTGACCTATGATTTTAAACAGTAAAGCTAGTTCTGTTCCTTGTTTCTGTCCTAGAAATATTCTTCAGCAGCAGCCCATAGAGATCACAATAACTTTCACTGGGGAACTTTGCAATGTTATAAAATGATTTGTGTTTAAATATTATTTAAAAACAACAACAACCAAGGTATGTGTGAACCCCCTTAATCTAATTAATGCACATAAGATTTTTTCTACAAGTTACTTACTAAATTCTTCATAATATCGGGAAATGCCTTAAACCAAGAAATGTATCTTCTAATGGAAGAAGAAAGGATTTTCAGCTGCAGGTCATCTTCAGAAGTCTTTTCAAATATTGAAAAAGAAGTTATGCACGCTGTGAAAAAAGCCAACGTCGTCACAGTGTAAGGCAAGAGCAGGCCATCCTTCAAGAGAAGAGGAAGCATGCTGTTGAGAGAGTTGTAGAAATTAATATGTGCTTTGTCAAGATTATGCTTCCAACAACCTAAAATACTAAGGAGGCCTTCAAATGTATTTAAGTTAGGAAGAATTATTTAGAAATACTAACATTCAAACTCACCTGAATGTAGAAACAAGTAGAAACCATGTAGACATAAAAGGAATTTCATTTATAACTAAGCACATAAGATTAAGGATGAAAAAAAGAAATATATGCATATATTTGAATTAAATAATTTCTGGAACTGCAACATTTTACTTCTACCATAAGGGGCAAGGGGCTCTTGCAGCATTTGGGACTATTAAGTCAATTGGACTGCCACACGATCACTCCAATTGTTGTTGGGGAAGTGAAATGGCAAGAAAATACATACAATTGTATCTGTGAACATTGAACGTGGCTAAAAAGCATTACCAAGACTGCAGCTAAAATAAGTACTCAAAAATAAGCAGGTGGCATCAGGCTGCTGAGAACTCCTAAGGCTTTCAAGAATTTTAAAAAAGTCATAAAGGGAAAAGAGACTAAGGGGGCATAAAACCTATAATACAATAAGGGGTGGGGGCTGGAATAAAGTATCTCAGAAGAAGTCACAGCTGACTGGCAGGAACACTGAGCAGAGTTATTCCTTATTGCAACATTTTATTTCAGGTTAGACTTGGTATTTCTCCTAGAGAAATTCTTGTCATATACAGTATACGTCACACAAGCAATTGTGCAAGACACATATGCAAACAAGCAGTTGAAAGTAGTGACCGAGCACAATGGTGTCCTCAGCATTTATGCACACAACATTCAAACTGTAGAAGCTGCCACAGCAATCTGGTGGTACCAGCCATGTTGAATGGTCATGTACAACTGGGACTTTATCAAATCATCTTCTACTATGGGAGTTCTGCATGCACATAAATTTAGAAGAGGATACTGGGCATTGTTCCAAAAAAGGTTCTTCCATCACAAGCAAATCCCCAAACCTCAGACAACACTATGATGCAGGAACCTGGCTATATTGTCACTATTGGGCACATTTGGCTTGAGTATATATTCCATATTCTACTGCAGCGATCCCCAACCTTTTTGGGGCTGGTTGGGGGGAGCGAGCTCCATGCACGGGGGGCGGAAGCACCCCACGCAAGAGCGGTGGGCATGTTACACTCACAGTTGATGTGTTGCGCTTGGAGGCATTGTGCATGCTTGCAAGCGTGACACGTCCCCACAGGGGCAACATGCCCACTTCACAAGCATGACATGCCCACCGTGAGCACAACATGCCCTCCCAAGTAAGCGTGACATGCCCCCCATGAGTGCGACCCTCCCATGACTGCAACACACACCCCATGAGTGTGACATGCCCCCTGCGGGTACAAGATGCCCACAAGCATGACACTCCCCCCATGTGTGTGCAGGGAGGCGGAGATCCATATCAACGGCCCAGTTCCGGCAAGCCCACAGACCATCACCAGGATGCAGACCAGTGGGTCACGATCCCTGTTCTACTGAATCAACAGTGAAGTCTCCATAATGTGCTGGCTAATTTCCTTATTTCCACACCACCCACTTTCACAATATTGGTGTAAATTAGGTAAGAGTGCCACATCCCATAGGACTATAAGAATGCACTGGCCTTGGTATGAGATGGTCTCTTGTATAGCAGTTTGAGCCTAATTCTAGATCAGATCTCATAACTCAATGGACCAGGACTGCCATTTATAGTAGAAGATACCTTATAATGGCACAAAATGTAGTCTGAAATGCTACTTACATTGAAACTAGAAGAATGGATTTTTCATGCACTTGGAATGAGAACAAAAAGAAGGACAGTGCACAGCTAACCTTAAAAAAAAATTAACAAGTATTAACTCATGAAGCAACTTTGATTTGCAATGAGAGGACCCTGTAAAATATGATGGTGCTATTCAGCAACTATGGCCAATGTATTTAACCAAACATATATTGCAAAAATTTTACATAATTACATGTAAAAGAGGTCCTAGGTCTCAAATATCCCCATTTCAGGATTTCAAGCATAAGTACACTGCAACTGAAATATCTTTTTCTTTACAATTGCGGCTAAGAGAAGAGGCATTTGTAGAATTACTTGGGTATAGCTTCCGATGTGAATCTATGTGCCTGATTGGTAGCAAGGCTCCTCACTGCATCTGTTCATCTGTTAATTCACTTCATCCAGTACTGTTTCAGTGGTGTTTGCTACGTGTCAGTATCTGGTGCTGATTCAAACTGTGTTAATCTTTAAAGCCATAAATGACTTAGGACCAGATTATTTGAAGCAGTGCCTGAGTCCCTCCCCCTCCCTTAATTGCTTAAGGTCATCTTTGGAGAATTTTCTCTTGGTGTCACTGCATACAATGGTGCAACAAGTGGCTACCAGGGGAAGAGCCTCCTTTGAAGTATCCCCTTGTTTGTGGAGAGATCCACCAGGCATTCTCCTTGGTGGCACTCAGGCAATGCACTGAACCCTTCCTATATAGGCAGATAGTCAGCCTTTGAATTTTATGTTTATTTTTTAGTTTTAATGTTTAGGTTTTACTGCCGGCTTTTACCATTCTAATATTTCAATATTTTAAAATGTTGACATTTTTCAGCTTTCATTTTTTTTGTTCTGAATTTATTTATTTATTTAAAATATTTTTACTCCCCCTTTCTCCTGAAAAGCATCCAAGCAGATTCTGATTATTAAAAGGAACAATATTAAAAGTGAACACAAATTGTAAGAATATTTAAAAGTAATAAACATCATATTAGAAATAGTAGATCAAAATGTTACTAAAACAGATTTTAAAAGCAACAAAGATACAAACAATTCTATTCTTAAAAATGCTTTCAGACAGCCAGTCGCTACGGGGATGCCTGCATGAAGAGAAAGGTCTTTGCCTGCTTGTGGAAGGACAGCAAAGATGAGGCCTGTGGGAGGGAGTTCCACCGTCTAGGAGAAGCATACAATGGTGAAACAAGTAGAGAGAAGGCCCTCCCCTGTGGCCCAACCAAAGACCTCTGTGAGGGTGGTGGGACAGTCTCCCCTGATCATCGTAACGATTGTAAGGACTGTACTTGGTCAGCCAAAAATAATATATATTTTTATTTAAATCAATTAGATTTTAAAAAATCATTGATTTTTATTCACCCTTCACCAAACTATGTTAACAAGAATTCAAAATAGTCCTTTATGCTGAGTCTCCAGGACTCAAGATAGTCTGGCATATGGGACCCAGTTGATATTTTTCAAACCATCTCAAACATCAAGGGACCACTGTGCCAAGCTTAAATTGGCCCAGCAATCGAAAGGTGGTCCTTTAAACTACCACCTATGCATGTTTATTAACAACACCTAAGTCCCGTCCAACTGGTTTTCCCTAAGGAAGTCATCTTTAAAATACAGGTCCAGTGCCAGTCTAATGCACTGCAAGTCCAGGGGCATACGCAAATGGATTGCACTGACAAAGAGCTTAGAAGAAAGAACAATAATCCTCTCTTGAAAAGAAAACAGTGCATGACCTCATACAAGGAAAATAGCTAATGAAGTGATAAGGACTGTACCAGGTCAGCAAATACATAGCAAGAAGAACCAGAGGAAAGTGCATCATAGGGTAATCAAACAATTTACAGATGTACTCTCAGAGCCTCAGACTACCATCTCTGAAAATTCCTGAAGAACAAATGTCCTAACCATGAAAGGAGATGGGGAAGAAGATTTGGAAAACCACAGACGTATGAAATGTACTCAGGTGTACAGAAGTATATTCCATTAGGGAGTGGTGTAAAGTTCTCAGTTGAGGTCCAGTCCTCTTCCACAATTTTATCAATGACATAGGATCTAACAATGTAGCAAGGTGCCTATGTGCCTATGAGTAACAGATTTAAAAGACAGCAACAAAAAAAGTCAGGAATATACAAAACAAATCATATGAGGAAAGACTGAAGGTGCTGGCTATGTTCTAGGTATACCAGACCCCCATACCTCACAATGGGGGTTTGTGTCCCATCACTCCTCTCTTGTTATCATGCTTGGTGACATAAATGTGTCAATTTATAATCATAGTAGCCATAAACAAAACTACATAAAGCATGTGTGAATCCCCCGAACCAAATGAATATATATTGGGGGGGGGGAAAGTATTTTCAAATATTGAAAAAGAAGTTCTACACACTTGAGAAAAGCCAATGTTGTCACCAAGTATTTTCAAATATTGAAAAAGAAGTTCGACACACTTGAGAAAAGCCAATGTTGTCACAATGTAAAAGAAGAGTGTCATGGATGGACACATGTGGAGATATTAGCTAATACTGGAATGGTTGTAAAAGCAGGGTTGTAAAACGAGCTGTTGTGTATTGGAGGTCCTCTGTAGTAGGTCCTCAGATACAACTAAGGAAAACCATGACAGCATTCTGCAGATATGTGAGAGGCTGTCAGAAAGAAGACAGCAGAGGCTTCATCTCTGCTGCCCCAGAGTCCTAAAGTTATAGGCAGGCAGATTTCAAATGAACACATCTTGACAGAAAGTGCAATTTAAAAATGAAACCAATTATCCAGAGGGGTGGTAAGCTCTTCCTCACAGAAGGTCTTCACACAAAAGCTGGACAGCGATCAATTGCAGACACTCTACCTTTCAATCTCCTGTACTGAAATATCTCTGACCACTTTGTTGCTGTTTTATGAACCTTACTTTAGGACCAAAAGACCTTCAAGAACCTTCAAATCTTGTGATGATTCTAAGTATACTGTCATGTTCCAACTGATGCATGCGCTACATGGATTCATCTTAAAATTTATCCCTTTCCTCAAGTGGTAAAGGTAAAGATTCCCCTTGACAATTTTTTTTGTCCAGTCGTGTTCGACTCTAGGGGGCGGTGCTCATCCCCATTTCCAAGCCATAGAGCCAGCGTTTGTCCAGAGACAATCTTCCGTGGTCACATGGCCAATGCGACTTAGACACGGAACGCTGTTACCTTCCCACCGAGGTGGTCCCTATTAATCTACCCGCATTTGCATGCTTTTGACCCCCTAGATTGGCAGGAGCTGCGACAAGTGACAGGCACTCACTCCGTCACGTGGATTCGATCTTATGACTGCTTGGTCTTCTGACCCTGCAGCACAGGCTTCTGCAGGTTAGCCCACAGCGCCACCACGTCCCTTTTTCCTCAAGTGACCAATAAACAAATAAATTCCAGGGGAAAGAAACAGGAAGAGCATGAAAGGATCTTACCAGCTTCAAAGTCTGACAGCATAATTTAGCTGTTTTTTTAAAACCCACTATGCTGATTTGCATGCAAGAAAAAAGAGCAGCCAGACCATTCCCTCTTGTAATAAAAATATGGCCACTCCAAAGACAATCAGCCTTTGAGTCGGTTCAAGTATAAGACCACACACATACCATATTTATCCATCTATAAGACCCCCCCATGTATAAGATGCCCCCCCCACTTTTCTAACCCCAAATTAAGAAAACTTAGCTTTGAGTATTCAGTCTCTGGGCTCAGAACGCTCAGACATTATGAGTCCCTATTGAATCTGAGCCTACAGGGTCCATTTCCAATGAGGTGTGTTCCAATTGGTTTATTCCACATCAGCTGATGTCAGTTTCATAAGGCTCGTGATTGGAGGAAGTTAAGTCTCCTGACTGTAGGAAGCTAAGCCTCGTGATTGGAGGCAGCCTGTTTGCAGAGGCAAGGTATGTGCCATTTTGTTCTCTCCTCAGGTTACTTCATGAAATGCCCCTCAATTTTTAGTGCAATGGTTTTAGGAAAAAGTAGTGTCTTATACATGGAAAAATATGGCATAGCTACTATGGATTATTTCACTGAATTTAAAACTAAAGCACAGTGGAGCACTGATAGCAAACACTATACTAATGTACAAAAAAGTGCTTAGTAGACAAGAGAGAGATCTTTCAGTCATAGAAGTTACAATTTTGAGCTAATGATGGTTACTAATAGGCAGAACTGTCCTTCCCTATATCTTATTTCCTCCCACCTCCATCTTCCTTTCTGCCTCTCCCTCATGGTTGCGCTGGCAAAGAGATCAAGCTGTCTTGCATTTATGTATTTTTATAATACAAAAGCTACATTTAAATATGGAAGTTTTTCTATGTACTTACCAAACCATATTTGAATCCTTTGAGAGAAGGCTGCAGAGTTAATTTTATGCAACTTGGAAGTACAGTCAGGAATGTTAAAGCAAAGCTAAAGATGAGAACATAAATTGATCACATTTTAATTTTTTACTTCAATAACATGGAATTCACTATCTTCAAATCATAATTCAAACTTGAATTGTTTACCTAGAACATTTTGGTATGGATCACATTTTATTTTTAATGAAAAGAAATAGGCAACAAGATTCCTATTCTCAATTTTCTGATTTTAAAACTCACTAATGTTTGTTTTATTTGCTTAATAACTCATCACAAGTTATTAAACAAATGAACAAAGCTCAGAAGCATGAAGCTACAAATTGTTTAAATAAACTATTTACAGGTGGCTGAACTGGGGTCACATTGTACAATTAAAACATTAAAATATTTGCACTTTTTCATAGAGTGCCATACAAACAGAAAATTCCTCAAGACCTATTCTCACTTACCTCAGTTTAAACTGTGTTTCTGCTGACAGATATGTCTTTATTTTGAAAAGGACACTTATGGTACACCAAATATTGGCTACTTTATCCTGAAAATATATTTAACATGTTGTATTAATGTTTTCACTGGTGTTGATTATTTACAGGCTGAATGCCAAAGACCTTTCATATGAATGAATAGCCACTGCTAAAATTCTAAGAGTATTTACAGAATTTGTGAGACTCTGATTCAAAATTATGGGCAACAACATTGGATTAAAACACACCTTAAATAACACAAGAATGTTCTTGATAATAGGGACCTATAGATCATTAATATTATAACATTACCATTTAACTGCACATTACCATGTGTTTTTTTAAAGAGAAATATAACACTTTTCCTCAAAATGTGAAGCCACACTATATTTACTATTCCTCAAAATGTGAAGCCACACTATATTTTGCCACATTCTGTTACTGGAACATATTTAGCTCTGCTTGCTAGTTGCTAGCAATGACAGAGTTAACCCCTAATAAATCAAGAAGTCTAAAGACATTAGCAGTTGTGCTAGGATCACTTTCCAAATTAAATTTGTAACCACACAGCTAGCATGCCCGTGAAACTCATCCCCAAACAGCTGCTTGAATCACAGCTGTGTAGACATAACAGCAAGAAAGCTACTACCAACAACTGAGCCATCTCTCCTTGTTCACTTACAAGCCTACAGAACACACATTGCAAATCTGCTGAAGGTGACAAGTGCTTGGCAGCACCCACAAGCATATAAGATGCCAGCATAATAGCCAACAAAGTTTTACAACTATCAGCATATGTAGGCATCTCTGTAAATGGGAACCAATTCAAAGAACCTGTCACAGTCACCCCAGTATAAACTTACTGTGCATTGCTTACGTAGACAGCTTCTCAGTTTATCCAGATAAATATCCAAATCAGTTGTTCCTCTGTCATCTCCAAAAATATTGAAGCTAACATTAGACCAAAATTCCTGAGTTGTCCTGGATAAATTGTGTGAAGTTTCTTTCTTATAAAACTTTGACTTGCTTTTGTAAAACCTAGCAATGTGCACCCCTACCACCACCAAATACACATATAAACACCAAATTGGTTGACAGTTCTTTGGCTTGTGAATTTCTATATACTTCACACTTTGTGCATCATCTCAGCGTATGACTGTGGAATAAGATCCTATTTTTTTCTGCCATTTTGCCAGCTCCACTGCTGTGGATGTTAATGGTTTTCAGCAGCAAGTCTGATGCAGAATTGGATCACTGTTTCTCTCCCCCTCCTATCCTCTCTCTGCAAACCATTTAATAGATGTCATCTCTCTAATAAAAAGATCTACTTCATGCCCAACATCCTTTAGGCTTTATTTCAATAAAGCAAGCTGCAACTTGTAGCAAACTGGAACTTTTGATGCATTTTGAAGCATGCAATGTTTCAGCATCAAGCCAATGGCTATTCCACATAGTAAAAACAAAATCCAGAATGAAATGAATTTGTTTTGGTTTTTTTAGCTCCTTTAGAGAATATTGTGCAAGGACGCTGTTAATTACTATGGAATCTATTTGAATGGAAAAATGTACGTCTGAACCATAGATCTGACGATGGGATAAATGCTGTCTATTCGTATAATATCCTGGAAGATGCCAGCTGAGCTAGGGGTTAAATGCTGGATTAAATAACTGGCAAGAAATGATGGTCAGAGTAGCCAGATCACATTACTGGCCTTCTGGTGTATCTTCCACATGGAAATCCCTAAGGGTCAAAGTGAAGGTTTCTCAAGGGAGCTAAAAATATAAAACATTTACAAGAAGCTTGGAAAGGGGGTAGGAGGGATGAGGCATACCTCAAACAAACCTCTATCAACTGGAAAGAGCCTTCTGAGCACTTGCAAAATTTGTTTGACGTCTGTCCAAAATGGGAGCCAACAGAGGGCAAAAGAAACAACGACAGTAAACCCCAGTTTTATTAATAAGAATAACCTGTAAGAAATGGAATACATTAAGCCAAGTCACGAAGAGGAAACAGAAATGGCAACATGGAATTAAAGGATAAATGTTTGCTTGGTTCATACTTAAAGCTCATTTTGAACACTGCATATAAATGCATGCAGCAGATAATTCAGAGTGGGAAATTACCAGCAGAAAAGATCAGGGATAAGAAAACTGTTAGATGTCAAAAAGATATATGCTAAACTCTTATCTTCTAAATCTGGGTGTCCATTTGTGACCTGTGCTTAACTAATGACAGGTGTTGAAGAGAAAAGATAGTTGTGTGTATTTTGATACACTATGGACACTCTTAAAACTATTTAGTATGTTATTTAATGACTTAGGAGAAACATGCTCTACTGGGGGAGGGAGAAGTAAAGAATTATAATGACATGAATCCCTTCTCCAGAAGCTTAATCGAGAAATGAATGACATGCACAAATTCTCAAGGCAAGGCTGCCTAAGTGCATTCCAGGACCATTTTCTGGATGTCAGCTTTTAAAGATACTCACCCCTTCCCCATCAGGCCTTTTCTGAAGCACTTTCCTAGCAGATAGCAAAAGAAGGGCAAAGAATGGTAAAGCTCCATTTGTTTGTAGTTAAGAGCTAAGCAAAAGGCTATCGAGCCCAAAATGTCCAAATCATATGACAGGCAAAGCACTCCCCATAAAGTAAGGCCAAGGCTCACAGCATTATACATGTTTATTATGTTAAGGAAAAATGTGTCAAGAACTGTGTTGTTACGAATAAGCAGTAGTAAGAGAACATATAGGAGAAGAACACTCTGCTATTCCTGTATGCTGGTACCAAATATGGTAATGCTTAATTTTCTATTAGCCACTCAGAAAGTGTCTCTTGAGGGTTTCCCAACCCTCTAAAGCTTTTTTCTTTTTTTGGTGGGGGGTTGCTCATTGTTACACTGGATTCCACCATTGTGTTAATGGACATCCAGCATTGGTTACAGCCCAACATAATTCCAAATCACTTAACTGTGGTCACATTGCACTCTGTGTTTTCATACACCAGCTTGTAATACGCTAAAGTATCTGCATTGTTCCTTCTGCATGATCACCACTATTCTAGCATTATTGGAACCCAGTGGAAGCAATGGCAGTAGAGTAGCCCATTCACTGTTCAAATAAACTGAAACTCAATGTTTGCTCATATCTGGAATTACCATGATATTTACCTATTTTTCCACAGATATCAGAAGAGTGTATACTTCTTGACGAATAAGAACAGAACCTAAAAATTTCCTCCAGTCCCTTGAACTGGATTCAGCTGATACCCAACTTTTATCATTGGTGTTCATCTGTTATAGCTCTTCCACACAGATGCATATGGGACTTTATCTTCTGGGGCATATTGCACCATCTTCTTTATACTGAATGAATGGTTACCAACACATTGAGCATAAGAATATTTGAATGTACTTATATTTCGGCTTTATAATCTATACCATATCTAACAGCGTAATATATGGTACACAAAAGAAACTTATTCCTCTGTAAGTGTAAAAATAGGGTTGTGACCTTAGTGGTAATGTAAGGCCACAATCCTACATCAAATTACATCGGAGTAAGTTCCATTAGACACAATAGGACTCAAATACTGTACTATAGAACTCTAGAATAGGCACTGATATGATTACAGTGTTAATATATTTCACTAATATTATTTACAAGAATTATCATCCCTCTTCACGTGCTTTTTGCATATAATCAGATTAACTGTCTTATAGTAAACAGCCTGGTGTTAGGTTATAAATTCTATTAACTGGTAAATGTAATGATCTCACTTTATAGGATCTGCAAGGATACTGAAAATGTCCATAATCAATCAGAATAAGACCTGGATAAAGCAATATGCAGAGAGCACTAGAAATCTGAGAAGAGATTAAAAAAAAGAATAATCAAATATTTAACAAAAGCTTATTTTTCAACAGGTTATCATGATTTATGACAGAAATGGGCAAAGTCTAAATGCCTAGGGACCAAATTGAAGCCCAAGCCCCCATCATGGGATACGCAAGGCCTCAAAACGGAAATCTGGGAAGAAGAAGAAACAAAACAAAAACAAATAGGGAATTGATGGGGGATCCCAGGAGCAGAGAAAACTTGGAGGACATCCCAAAGCCCAGGTGAAATTCTCTCCATCTCTTGACAATATACAAACTGGGGCTTGGGACACATATTATTTGTGGCTGCACCCTACATGATCAGGTAACTCCTTTTCTTCTGCCTATGTAGCAACAAAGTTGGGAATGGGGTTAGGGGAAATCATACCAACCTTTTTCTTAGTTGAAGTATCTTTTAAGTAACAACAGTACAAGATTACTGCAGGAATGTAAACCAGCAAATCAGCAACAAGAACTGCAAAATAGAAATATTATGTATGAACATCAAATCAATATTGTTTTGCAGTCTCCTCTGCTTTTGCTTATTTTATTTCATGTATTTTTTTTGTTAATGTGCTATTATTTGTGCTCTTTTTCATTTACAGTTCTCACATTAACTGTTCAAAATATAAAGGTCATGCAAGACCAACTTTCCTGTCCCAGACATGGGCATTAAATACTGTGGTAGGAGGCAGAAAGAGCCATCTGTTCAGCTGGTCCCCACATTTTCTTTGAATTAAATTCCCCTAGTCCACCCCACCCAGGGGGTGTGTGTGGCCTCACAATGAGCAGAAGACCGGCCAAGCCCCTCAACATTCCTCATGAAGATGATTAGTCCCAGCCCCAGACAGAAGGACTAGCAAAGAGGCCATCAGGAAGGCCAATCTTTTGGAACAGGCACCAAGCCAAGGGACCTTGGTGGAGCAGGTTCAGGAGATGGGCCTCTAGGGGTGGGGCAGGGTGAGGAAGGACACTTGAGGGGAAGAGGAGGAACAAAAGGCAACAGCTGCAGCACAGGGAAGGATTAAGATGAGGTGACACAGTGACTCAGGTTGAGGAATAGGAGAGCTGGATTGAAGTCCTGAAATTGTCCCAGCCTGAGCCACCAAAAATAAATAAATAAATAAATAAAAATAAAAAAAAAACACCTGCAGACACTTTTGGTCAACTAGCCTAGCCCAGTGCCACTGCCATCCTGGAGTACCAGATCCTGGTGGAAAGGAGGAAGTGGTTGCACCAGAGACAGCTGCAGTGCCTTCAGCAGATGAAAGCTGAGGTCTGAGCCACCTGCAAGCAGTCCTGCTGCTCAACAGACTGGGGTGATCACATGAAACCACTGTGGTGAGTGCTCTCACCCTAGTGGGAGCCTAGGAAGAATGGCACAAAGAACTCTCAGGCCTTGGACTAGAATTGTAGGGATTGCGCCTGAAAAGCAGGAGGACAGTTTTGACCCTGCTGAAGCTATACTTTTGTTGCAGTTAAAATGAATGTTACTCTATCTTCTTGTCTCATGTCTAGGCCAGTGGGACTTTCTGACACCCTCCTATTGAAGGAGGACTCGGGGCGGGGGGGACACAACTACAGCTCAGAAAAGCCAGGCTGATTCTGTAATAACTGATAAACAACATGAATAGTGACCGAATAGAACTTAAAATAACTAGTTTTTCCCCTCCACCCCAGTTTGGGGAGATCCCTTTGAAGCTCATCATAATTGTTGTTTGTTTGTTTTACCATGCTGGATAATTTGATGTCATCAGCATCACACTCACTTCTCCAGCTCTGAATCGTTTATGAACACACTGGTCTCAGTACAGATCCTTTGGGGGCGAAGCCCATCTAATAAGAGCTAATCTAACTTTACATTCTCCATATCAGCTCCACCAAACCTGGTACTCTCCAGATATGCTATAATTCCCATCATCTCCAAACAGTATGGCCTCTGACTATGCCAACTGGGGAAATGTAGTCCCATGTCAGAGTGCAATATTAGGTTGAGGAAGGCTGTTCCAAGATTGTTTTTCTCTTAGAAGACCAAGTTTAAAAATTGTGTAGACAAAACAACAAACAATTTTGGTTTGTGGGCTAACTATTTTGCAAACCTGTGAAGATATGTGACTTTGGATTACAACTCCCAGATTTCCCCATATTGCTTCAGGAATTCTGGGAGTTGTAGTCATAAAATTGCACACCAATACTATTTTGGTTTGTTTGAGCGAACTTTTGCCAAGACACAAGATAGTATACAGTACTGTGGTTTGCTGAAAAGCAGGAACACAAGATGAGGAAGAAGTACCGTATTTTTTCCGTCTATAAGACGCTACTTTTTCCTAAAATTATTACCCTAAAAGTTAAGGGGCGTCTTTTACACAGAAGTAAGCTGAGATAGCTGAAGAGAGAACAAAACGGCATGTACCTTGCCTCTCTAAACAGTCTTGCTTCAGCCACGAGGCTTTGTTTCCTACAGTCAGGAGACTTAGCTTCCTCCAATCATGAGCTTTATGCAACTGACGTCAGCTGATCCTGAACAAAACAATTGGAACACACCTCCTTGGGGGTGGAGCCTGTAGGCTCAACAGAGACAAAATGTCCAACGTTCTGAGCTCAGAGGCTGAATTAAGATTTTTCTTTAAGTATGGGGTTAGAAAATTGGGGTGCTGTCTTATAAATGGGGGCATCTTATAAACAGAAAAATACGGTATACAAATCTATTACTCTCCAGCACTCATTTATTTTATGTCCAAGCATGGTATCTGTACCATTTATAAGATTCCTTTTTTTAAAAAAAAGTTCTTTAAGAGAATTGTTATCTGTACTTCACAGAGAGATTTTTTTAAATATGCAAAACTAATGGTCAACAATTAACTGTATTGAATTTTGTACTTCTGACACAGTAGTTTAATGGCTGTAGCTAAAAGAATGTCTATCCATTTTTTTTAGTTCGTACATCAATGGTTTGTCAAGTGTGTTGATCTGAACATTATTAAAGACCATTTCAAGGGTAATTTGGTTCTAGTGATTTTTAAAAAACAATCAATTACTAGAGACCAGATGGAAATGTTTGTGGCCAGAACAAGAGGTAGTGTGGAGGAGTGTCTAGTCCAGCCCAGAATAATCAGGAATAAGGAAGATGCTCTCATGTCATCAGGGGATTTTCCAGGACGTCACTCAATCTTATGAAACAGAGGAAGACTAAACATAAACTAATAAGCATGCTGTCTGTTAAATAACTGTTGTGACATTCCTGATTTCCCCCCCTTCATTATTAAGTATTGCCACTAAACAGCTTCCAATCAATATGCTTGTGAAAATAATCACTCATTTGTCCCATTTGATTCAGGTGTAGAAAAAGGCATGCTGAATTTTATGATAAGAGTATTTAAATGTTTTTTTTTTAAGTTTAGGAAAACTATTATACAATAATAAAAACACAGGCTCACAATGGTTAGCAATATTGGGCTTGAAGAGCTATATTACCATCTACTCCTCCCAAAGACTCTGAAACAATGGGCCCATTCACACTGAATATTTGTTAAACTGTCCTTGCACTTATGATACCAGGACTGCATCCCAGTGTCCACATAACACAGGGCTGAAACTAGCGTCAACTCAGACACAGAAACTTGCTTTCTAGGGTTTTGGTTTTTGTTTTGGTTTTTTACATTATTCCTATATGTTGGTATATTTTTGTTTTACTTTGTTCCAATTTGCTCCCGTGCAGGATCTCCACTCTAAATGTGAAAAATTAAAATTAAACAATTGTGTTAAAAAATGGAAATTTTATAATATTGAGCAGGTAAGTGAGGAGAGAATGAAGTAGCCAAGGAAAGAGCACAGATGTTATCAGTTGTTAATGAATTCTGCTTTTTTAATGCTATCACTTGTACACTATAGTATAAAAACTAAAACTAAACTAAAATAATTAATAAGAAAGCACTGCAGCTTTCTATCTCAACATGGTGGGTTGAGATAGGACAGCCAGCAGGTAAAACAAGGAAGGAAGAGAAGGGTGAAGAGAACATAGGCAAAATAGGATGGCAATCTGTCCTGGGAATGAGACCTCAGAGAGCAGTTCTGTATATGTATGGTCAGACAGTACCAGGAATAAATCCAGCAACAAATACCTTCCTCATATATGGACATTGATACTGGGATGATCAATTCAAATCTGCAACATTAAGTTGCAACCCCAGAACAACCAGGGGCAATACCAGTGTGGATGAGCCCAGTTAATACAAACTGGATCCAGATTAGCCATGCTGTGAATAGGAAGGCTTTCTGTTCACAGAAGGCATTGGAATCCTCCCCTGTTGGAAGAAGCAGAGAGGGATATGATATTTTCCAGTTCTCCCTGAATCTCCCTTTATTGTCTCTCATGTTGCTCCAAATAGTCTCCCCATCCTTCAAAACAGTGCTTCAAGAAGCATTGTGAGATGTAAGAGCATGGAAGAATGATCGACCAGGTTTCCACTTCTTGATTTGAGGGCAAGTGAATCTCTGCTAAGTGCTAATCTGGCTCCCACCCTGTAATTCTGTGTCCTACGGACATGAACAATATGCTGCATAGGGACAAAGGAGAGAACCTTCTCTCCATAGCACCCAGGCTGTGTGGAATTACTCCCCTTGAGATACTAATGAATGATACTAATGTGGCTCTCATCAAAGCTTTTGCAGACCACCTACTAGTATGACTAGCATAGATGCAGTTTTAGAAGAGGTAGCTGGTGTTAGTCTGTGCAAGCATATCAGGTGAAATCCAAAGAAATGAAAAAACAAAAACAAAGACAAAAACATGTGGCATATTAAAGATTAACTATTATATTTCATGTAAGCTTTTGTGGACAAATATAATAGTTATTCTTTAAGGTGTCAGGTGTCCTGTGTTTTTGTCTTCTTTTTTTTGTCTTTTTACGTTTTATTTCTTTGGATGTCACCTCATAGAGTGACTATGTTACAGGACTCTTTTAACATACTGAGAGTAGACATTTTAAACTTTTTAGAATTATTTGTAAACATTTAAAATATTTTGACTGTTCTAAATTGTTAATGTATAATGTGTTAAAATATTTTAAATTGCCTACTGCTGTTTTATTACGGTGCCTTGACTTGAGATCCTCAGATATGGGAGGAGGGTGTTGTATTAAGTATTCTAACAATAAAATAAAATATATACTTCATTATATGTTTTAGTATCAAAATAATGAGATATATTTTCTTCCATACATCACTCCTGGAAAAACCATAGCTTTGACTATGTGGATCTTTGTCGGCAAGGTGATGTCTCTGCTTTTTAAGATGCTGTTTAGGTTTGTCATCACTTTCCTCCCAAGAAGCAGGCGTCTTTTAATTTCGTGGCTGCTGTCCCCATCTACAGTGATCATGGAGCCCAAGAAAGTAAAATCTGTCACTGCCTCCATATATTCCCCTTCTTTTTCCCAAGAGGTGATGGGACCAGTGGCCATGATCTTAGTTTTTTGATGTTGAGCTTCAGACCATTTTTTGCGCTCTCCTCTTTCACCCTCATTGAGA